AGATAGAGAAGTTAATAAAGCCTCCAACAATCGCTATAGAGAATGATTTGAGGAGCACGTTCCCAACTGCACTTCGTCCTCAGGACCATCTCAGTGTCCTCACTTCAGATGAGGAAAACAGCATAAAAAGACTCAGTGCCTTATGAGGACTGATTGATATTCAGGCGATTACATTTAATCATCCTGCTGGTGATAGTGAGGTGACTAACAAGGTGTACTTGTCCTCACAGGCCTCACAGTCTAATGAGAAAATCTACCACATGAATGATTTCTTATAATATGGCCATTGTGATGCAATAAAAATATTAAGATAAACTACCATCAGATCCAGCAATCTCACTTGTGTATACTTATCTAAAGGAATTTAAATTGGGATCCCAAAGAAATATCGGTACTCTCACATTCATTGTAGCATTCTTCAAAATAGTCTAAATGTGCAAACAACTTAAATGTCTATCATCAGATGAACAGATAAAGAAACCGTGGAGCAGATACTCGATGGAATACTATACAGCCTTGAAAAAGAAGAAAATTCTGCTATCTGTAATAACACGGATGAACCTTGAGGACATCACGCTAACCGAAATAAGCAAATAAGCAGTCTCAGAAGGACAAACACCTTATGATTTTACTTCTGTGGGGAGATCTAAAGTAGTGGCACTCACAGAACCAGAGAGATTTACACTGGTAGTTACTGGGGGCTGGGGAACAGGAAAACGGGAAGCTACTTTTGAGTGGGTATAAAGTTTCAGTTATGTAAAATGAGTAGGTCCAGGAGATCTGCTCTACAAGCCCTGTGTTTACAGTTAAGAGGGTAGATTTCCTAATGAGAACACCTGTTCCACATGCAATTGTGTTGCCTTTAGTCCTCCCTAAAGTCACCTAGGATGAGCCCAAATCTTAACAGGCCCCGGCTGGGTACGGTGGCTCACACCTGTAATCCCAGCACTTTGGGAGGCCGAGAAGGGTGGATCACTTGAGGTCGGGAGTTTGAGACCAGCCTGGCCAACATGGTGAAACCCCGTCTCTACTAAAAAATACAAAAATTAGCCAGGTGTGGTGGCACATGTCTGTAATCCCAGCTACTCGGGAGTCTGAGGCAGGAGAATCGCTTGAACCTGGGAGGCATAAGTTGCAGTGAACCAAGATCGCGCCACTGCACTCCAGCCTGGGCGACAGATTGAGACTCTGTCTCCAAAAAAATAAATAAAATAAAAAATGAAAAAATAGCAAGTCCCTCTGGTTCTCTCTTGATGAGACTTTCCTAGGTTCTGCATAATGGGTGGCCTTCGTTGTTGCAGCAAGCGAAAACCCAAGTATATGGAATGACGCGTGTGTATCTCAGGTCTTCTTTGGGTAGTAGGTACTGACAGGTGAGTATCAGTGCAATGTGGGGGGTGAGATAACTATTCAGGTTGTATGGCAGAAACTGCCACCTACAGGAGATATTCCTATTTATCAAAAGGAGCGTGGGATAAAGATTAAAAAATACTTCAATTGGCAAAGAGGTCCGTCACACCAGGCAAACTCTGAAAATAGTTATGCACTTCGAAATTTGCGTATTTTGCTTTTGTCCTCTGCAATGAAAAAGACAGTATTCAGGTACTGTCTCTGGGATTCTATCCTCCTCAGTTCTTGTGTGTCTTCACCCTAAATGTACAGTCCTTTATCAGAATGTGCTCACGTACTCATTTTATCTTAAAATAACCCTTCTATCTTCCCACAGCTTTTTCTAACACACTAGAATCTGTTTTATTTATTTATTTTCTGTTGAATTAGAACAACAACCGACATGATTTGGGTAACTGCTGCTGGGGAAGCAGTTCCATGAAAATGAAAATTGGCAGATTATTTTGATTAAATGATGTTTAAATTTGGTGTTGAGATATTTTCTATAAAAAGGAAAAATTAATAAAAGTGTCTACCTTTCTAACAGCACTGATGTGGAAAATAATTTATGGTTTATCAGAATCATTCTTCTGCAAGCTAAAAATGAAATACAGAGTAACTATAATATTCTATTACAGGTTGAGTATCCTTTATCTGAAATGTTTGGTGTTTCAGGTTTTGAACTCTTATAGATTTTGGAATATTTGCGTAAACATAATAAGATATCTTAGGGATGGGACCCAAGTCTAAACATGAAATTCATTTATGTCTAATACATGCCGTATACACATAGCCTGATACACCTTCTACACATGCTTTATCCTTGTTAAGATGATGACTTGGTTTATGAAACACAGTAATTGTTAGGGTTTGGCTAATACTCAATTGTTTCCCATAAAACAAGTTGCTCTTTAAATGGGTCACGAGTCAGACGGATTTATGTAGCCTGAGAAGCGCAAGAAGCAGCTCTTTGGCACCATGGAGAAGCTCTGGTGGGCAGCCATTTTATACAATATTTTATATTTTAAATACAAATACAATATTTTTAATTATTTTGTGCATGAGACAGTGTTGACAGCATTTTCTATTGTGATTCGTCCATTACATGAGGTCAGGTGTGAAATTTTTCCTTTGTGGAGTCATGTTGGTGCTCAAAACATATCAGATTTTGGAGCATTTAGGATTTTGGATAGTCGGATTAGGGATTCTCAATTCATATAACAAAATAGTTCTTGAAATTATTTTTGTCATGCCTGAGTATTTTGTTAGAGTTGAATAATGGTATGAAGAAGAAAAAAAAAAAGATATCCCATAGAGGCTTCCACAATCATCTCAAAGATCTTTCACAAAATGAAGAACTATTGCCAGTGGTGGTTTTTCTACTTATGCTGGATTGCTTACAAAATACCCGCTATCGTGGCAAAGGTTCCACTTATCTAAGAGGCTTCAGGTATTGCATCGCTTACTTGTATATTTGAGAGCTATGCAAACATATTTTTATCTTTGAGAGATATAGGGTATCACTGTCATTCCAAGTTCCCAAAATGAGGAGAAATACAGCACCAAGGGCCATGTGTACCCAGGTCACTTTCTTCATGAATTTGATAGTGGTCTATTTTCAAGGAAAATGACAATAAATGAAGAACACCTGCATCTGGATAAATTACGAAGAAGGATTTTTAGAGGAAGAAGTTTAGAAAGTGAAGAGACCAATTTTAAGTATTTGAGACAGTAGGACAGGGAGAAGCTGTGGAATGGAGACATCACAGCTCCACGGAATGTCTGGGAAGCGGGTGGGTGGAAATCAGACCGTGCTCTGTGACTTCCTCCTCCCTGCCAGTCCTCTGGCTCTGGCCCTTCGTCTGGACATTTCAGACAGCATCCGAGAGAAATTCTATTGTCTGTCATCATCATTCTCTATCTTTTAGTAAATATTTCACACTGCCGTGAAGCCAAATTGAAATCAGCCCAGTGGAAAAGTGAGCGGGAATGAGGTCAGCCTGGAATAGAGGGTGATCAACAAAATGATTGACTTCTCAGGTCAGACAACCATGTTTCTTCGGAGGCAGGATGTCCTCCTCCGGGGCTCTGAGGTGCTGGAAGTGGGAAGCAGTGCGAATGTGTGCACACCTGTCGGGAAAAGCCGGAAACGTATTGTGACAGGTTTCATGATCACCCTTCAACACCGCAAATGCTCTAAGCTACAGCTACATGCTGCTCCTTTACCGCACCTCTGTTACAGTCGATGTGAAAACCACAACAACAATAATAAAATAAATCCGAATGCATGGAGGACTCACTGGCAACACCTCAGTGGAGCAGTTTTGATTTAGTGACTGAGGGACATTTTCTATCTCAAAATCATTCCTCTCTCATGGTTGAAAAATCAGGTTGGACAAGCCATTACTAGTCAATGAATTAAAATATATATCACTGGATTGCAAGCAAAATTTTACATTTATTCTTCTTTGCAAAGAATATGCATTTTATAAGCTCTTGATACAAACGTGAGGTTTTAGATGTGGAAAACCAACTAAGCCACATAATTCATGCCATCTAAAAAGAAGAAGAAACCAAGGGAAAATCAATCAAAACATGTATTTGCCTGTCCAGAAATAACCTCAAGTAAAGAAACACTTAATGTACATCTTTCCTACCCAAATCGAGAAAAAAATATTTCTGCGTTTATACCTCTGTTTACTTTCAGGAGACCATTCGATTAACTATTTTATTTTATTTTATTTTTGAGGTGGAGTCTTGTTCTGTCACCTAGGCTGGAGTACAGTGGTGTGATCTAGGCTCGCTGTAATCTCCGCCTCCCAGGTTCAAGCAGTTCTCCTGCCTCAGTCTCCCAAGAAGCTGAGATTACAGGCACATGCCACCACACTTGGCTAATTTTTTTTTTTTTTGTACTTTTAGTAGAGATGGGGTTTCACCATGTGGATCAGGCTGGTCTTGAACTCCTGAGCTCAGACAGTCTGCCTGCCTTGGCCTCCTAAAGTGCTAGGATTACAGGCATGAGTCACCGTGCCTGGCGTAATTAACTATATTCCCATGAATGCTAAAGAGACCAAGTCTTTCCAGCACAAGACCCTGCAAGAAGAAAGCCTTGAGCTCCTGAGCCTCGGATGCAGGTGCTGCTTCACGTAAGGAGCCTGGGAGAGGAGAATCCAGGTAGAGATGGTGACCTGGAAAACATGACTTGGAAAGAAAAAGTCCCGGCCAATGGACATTTATAAGCTGGGCACTGTGGAGGAGGTTCAATATAGAAATATGGTTTCCTTTTCCCTTTAAAATGTACAGCAAATCCTTGCAGTTTACTCATTTTGGTGTGAGTGTGTTATTTGGAAGGAACTGAAGGCAGCATTGAATTCTACGTTGAAATAAATTACAGGAATAGGCTCTTTATGAAAACAGACAGGCATAAATATAAGACCATTGAAAAAAGTAGCGTTGATGAGGGACTCTCCCACATGAAGGTTTATTGAGACACAATCAATCATGCACATCAGAGGGATGGGGGAGAAGACAGGGCAGGGTGGGCAGCTGTGACCAGCCTGCCTTAAATCCTCAGGAGCCTCGGAGCAGGCAGCAAAGAGAAGGATGTGGGCTCTGCCTCCCTTGGCCTCTTTTCAGGCGGATTGATTCTAATGTTGAAAGACATGAATTACGGGCCAAAGCAAAGTCTCTAAATGCGACGTAATTACTTAATGGTATAGAATCAATGGCCTCTTCTAATCCTGGAAGAAGCAGACTGTGCTGGAGTTACTAAGAAATGGTTTGTGTGATGTTCTGCTTTTGCATTTTGCTAAGAATATGTTGATTTTAGGCGTGATATATTTCCTGTGAAATGGCAAAGATCCCTAAACCTGTATAACCACAGCCAATCATGCAGGTTCTTCCAGTCCCTGCTTGATGGTACAAGGCCAGGGAACTTAGAGGGTACAGGGGAGGCTACAAGAGTCTCCTCCACTGTGAACACTCAGGGAATTCCCGGGAGCTCAGAAACTGGTATAAAACACTTTCTGCTTGATGCCAAAAAGCAAATGTACAAAGCTGAACATGTTCAGCATTTAAAAGCAAGAATTGTGTATCTCCCATGTCTTCAAGAAAGCTTGCTAATGCCAGGAAAAAATGTAACCATGGTTCAGACTTGGAATATTAAAACTATCAGAGGCGTTTGATCCAGAGAGACCCCATCTTCAATAGGGGCTGTGTAAAATGAGACTGAGACCTACTGGGCTAAATTCGCAGGAGGTCAAGCATTCTAAGTCACAGGATGAGATAAGAGGTCGGCACAAGCTACAGGTCACAAAGATCTTTCTGATAAAAAGATGTAGTAAAGAAGCTGGCTAAAATCCTCCAAAACCAAGATGGCTTCTAAAGTGGCCTCTGGTCATCCCCACTGCTCATTATACATTAATTAAAAAGCATTAGCATGCTTTAAAAAAAACACTCCCACCGGCACCATGACAGTTTACAAATGCCATGGCAATGCCAGGAAGTTACTCTAAAGGGCCTAAAAAGGGGAGAGACCCTAGATAAAGGAATTGTCTACCCCTTTCCCAGAAAACTCACAAATAATCCACCACTCGTTTAGCATATAATCAAGAAATAACAGCAAGTATAAGCAGCTGAGTGGCCCAGGCCACTGGTCTAAGGAGTAGCCATTCTTTATTCCTTAACTTTCCAAATAAACTTGCTTTCACTTTACTCTATGGACTCGCCCCAAATTCCTTCTTGCGCGAGATCCAAGAACCGTCTCTTGGGGTCTGGATCTGGACCCCTTTCTGGTAACAAAACCATTACAGAGACTCTCATACTTCAGGAGGGAAATAATTCGATTTCTTTTCATGCCAGCTTCTCACCATAGCTTTTGCTTCTCAATGCTATTTGATTATATCACAGCTGAGGGAGTGGTTACTGATTCAGAGTGGGGTGAAAGGTTGGGAGGGCAGGACACACGCCTGAGCTACAGCTGCAAACAGTGCTCCATTATCACCGAAACCTGTTGGTCATGCAGGTCACTCATCTCAGTCTCCACACCACTGCTTCCGTCACTGGAGATCAGTGGATTGTGAGTGCTTCCTTGCTGGTAGAGTGGATCATGACCATGCCGGTTTATTCAGCGGCACCAAACTAAAGATAAGAGAAGCTCCTCGCAAGTACTGGCTCACCGTGGACACATCCATGCTGAAGGGTTATCCAGTGTTTCATTCTGAAGGGTCACTCACCACAGCCTTCTCTGGGGTGCCCTGTGATCTAACTCACACCTTCTTCTCTCATGCTTTCCAAATGTACCCTTCTGCTCTCAAGCAGTGTGGAAAACAAACAAAAACCCAGCAATTGCATAGGTTCACTAGAATACTGCATTCAAAAGCCTCTAGACTTCCATTGCTTCACAAGTTCAGAAAGATGGTAACATCATCATTAATTATGTCTTCATATCACTAACCAGGATGACATGGGGGGTGGGGAGCAGAGGGCTAGAGACCATGATCTGTGCATGTCTGGAGTCACACACACGTTTTCTGCACACTGATACTGTTGCAAGCATTTTTCACGGCAGCCCCCAGCAGCTCTTTATAACTGAACTGTGTCTGTTAACAAGGGTTAGGTATCCTACAACCACGGAAATCATAAAGTCTATGTGCAATTTGAGGTTGAATTTGTTTGTGAAAGAATGAAGCTGTAGTGGTGTATGAAAGTACTGTTCAGAATATTTTTATATAATAGAGTTCAAATAATTTTTAGGCTTCAGTGTAACTACTGCCTTTCAAGAAGCAATGTTCAATTTAACTTTTCATGTGTACTCAAAACTTTTACCACTGCTGTTGAGTAATTCATAAGTTGCATTTATAATTCTAGTTCTTTACCTCCAGAAAAACTTAATTTTTGATAGAAAGACATCAATTTTTTTTTGCATAAACACACTAGTAGGAGTAAAGCAAGAGAAGGAGGTATTTAGAAATTTATAAAATATTAAGGATGTTAGAGTCATTATATACTCTTGAGGACAAGAAAAATAAATTTCCTCTATAAATGATGTTCTTTTCTTTCTACTTTTCTGTATCTTTGACATTTTGATGAAAACGTATTACTTTAAGCAAAATTTTTAAAATACATGCCTTCCAAGGACAACATTTGAATATAAGACACCAGGATATTTGCATGCAATATGTTATCTGATGATCTGATACATTTTATAATCTTTATCGAAAACCAAAGAAAGCCCCTTATAAAGGCAGACAAGGTCAGTCACTTGAGCATTTCCAGGAGAGAAAATGTTCAGGCAGCCCAGTTTCTTTACACATCTCACTTTGGTCTAAACATGATTCTGCTTTTGCAAAGTCAGATAGAATTTATTTGAAAAAATTAGAAGTAGTAAGAGACGGGTTGTTTCAACAGGCCACACTCTAATAAAGTCCGTTTTTAAAAACTACTGGGTAATTATTTACATTTTAATAAAAGATGTAACTTATAACTATGTAACTCCTTTTAATGCATTCGCATCTCGATTCATTCAATGGCTACTTACACAGGATCAGAGAGATCTTTGTCTCCTGATGAACTGTTAAGCATCATCCTCATTCTCTTCCCATTACTCTTTAAATTATCTAATTGCTGAAAACTGAAGGGTTTTTACACTGAACTGTTTTGAAGTCATGAAATTCCGAATCCGAGATGATTAGAAATGATTGATAAATAATATAACATTGTTATACTCCATCTTTTTTTAAAAAACATAGTAGTATCAATAATGTTTTCTGGAGGAATCTTTATTAAAGAAAACAAACCATTGCTAAGAAAAGATGTTTCTCCAGATCTGAAGAAAATACTTAACAGTGGCCATTAGTATCTGTAGCCTCCAGCAAAATCGAGACCTAGAAAAACTAAGTATTGCTTCTTATTTTTGAACACACAGTTTATCTCTGAGCATGATCATTTCTTCCAGATCTCAGCCTTTACAGTCATGACAAGCTCCATCCAAAGACTTACTCCAAGCTTCCGAAAGTGTATGAACAGTTTATGTGGTCATTTTTTCAAGTTCATATAATGAATATGCAAAACAAAAGTGAAACATATTCGGAGAAAATTCTTAGCTTTTCAGAATCTTTGAGCAATCTCAAATATTTTTTAAAAGGTTTAAATTAAAAAATAAGTATAAAGGTGTAAAAGTACCCAAAGTAAATAAAACACAAACAAAATAAATAGGTATTTAGTTAGGATAAGAGATGCATGTGTGATATTTTGTTTTTTGTTTTGTTAACTTTCCTTTTAAGCTTAGTTTTTATAATAAAATGTAAAATTGTATAATGCATTTTAAATATATTTCATATATCATTACTAAGATCTAAACTATTACAAAATACTTAATTAGATAAAATATTGTATTTGAAATCATCTTACAAGATGTGAAGAGCTACGGAAAGGTAATATGATCAATATTTATTCCCTTCTAGTGCCTGATAAATGAGATATTATTGTGTTTTGTAGTAGAAATATGAGTTTCAACTGTCAAAAAATTGTAATATTTTTATTAAATAACTTCATTATGAACATACGAACACCTCCAGCTTCTTAAATATGACACAAATGCCATTGAGATGTTCTGAGTGCTCTGTCTGAGACTGGCGGTGTGTGCAGCGTCAGGAAGGACCACAGTGACATGTGGAGACATGGGGAGTGACCCTCACCTTGATACACGAAGTGGAAGCCCCTGGCAGAGGCACCGCTCTTCGCACTGAATCGGAGCAGAATTTGATTTGACGTAGCCAAGGGCAATGTTTCCCCTAGAAATGAAGACAGAGATAAAACATGGGATTCAGAAAACACACAGCACCGTGGCGGACAGTCATATTTTGGAAAATGGTGATAAAGCTAAAATTTCACATTTATTCTTTGAACTTTTAAAACATTTTCACTTTGTGGTTTAAAACTCAAATATGTTGTTTTTATAAAGATTTAAAAACTCTGTCCCAGGCAAGAATAGGCAGTGCATTTGATTAAAATATACTGTAATCATTATTTCACTGATGATTTCATTTGAAGAAAGCACCAATGGTAAGTCTATATAATAGAGGGGACAGAAGTAAAGGGTGAATCATTTGCTCAGAATCACCTTAATTTAATTTTAGCTAAAATGAGAAGAATTTTACTTAAATTTTTTTAAAAAGCCACTGAATCCAAAGATGATTTTTTAAAAATTAAAGGATTCAGAAAAGACCTTCTGAAGTATATTTTTAACCTTTAGAAGCACATATAGGCCAGGCGCGGTGGCTCACACCGGTAATCCCAACACTTTGGGAGGCTGAAGCTGGTGGATCACTTGAGGCCAGGAGTTTGAGACCAGCCTGGCCAACATGGGGAAACTACATCTCTACTAAAAATGCAAAAATTAGCCAGCTATGGTGGCACATGCCTGTAATCCCAGTCACTCAGGAGGCTGAGGCAGGAGAATTGCTTGAACCTGGGAGATGGAGGTTGCAGTGAGCCGAGATGGTGCCACTGCTCTCTAGCCTGGGCAACAGAGTGAGTGAGACTTCGTCTCAAAAAGTAATAATAAAATAAAAATAAAAAATATATAAAAACACATACAAAATGTGGAAGAGTCTGTCTCAAGCAGTGGTGGGAGGTGTGTGAATTGGCATAAGCTTTTCAGAGGACAATGTGTTACTAATAATCAACGTATTTAACATGTATCCTCTAATGCATTCTTAGATACGTCACTGAACCCTAGTAGAAAATAACAAAACATCGGTCTTAAGACTTTTAGTTAATAATGAAATAGTGAAAACCTGGAAATAACCAAATCTTAACCTTAATTGGTCAAAGCTTGTGATGCATATAGTTTACTAGGCAAATTAGTGAATGTACTCAGTACCAAACTGATTTTGTAAACGATGAAAACGTATCAGTACAAATAAGGGGTAGGTCACCAATTAAAAGTGGGGTTAAATTGTGCTACGTTAAACCCTCAGAATACCATTCAGAACTCAGAGTAAGGACACTGGGTGTATACAGTGTTTGTTAGAGACAGATTTCTGTATGTGATTTTAAGGGTAAGAATGGGATAAAAATAAGTTGTGAAATAACTCCATGTTTTATGGGGGTTCCTGTGTGTTTGCGTGCATGTGTGGATAAATGTATGCATGTGTACATGTGAACACGGGTAGATGTGTGGTTATTAATGGGTCTCTCTATGTAGGACTTACAGGCTTAAAATGATTTGGACCGAAATGTTAATCATTTTTATATCCAGAAGGGAGGTTAAGACACATGGGATACAAAATTAAACGTGGATGATAGTTGATTATCCCACCCTCTTTTTCGGATCTTTGCCCCTTTTACTGAGATAAATACTATATTTTCTGAAATCTTAGTAAGATGATAAAAGCAGATGATTTTATGGCTGAGATAAAAACACTTTTGAGAGCTTACATCTAAAATAAGATTTTTCTAAGCACACACGCAGATTCAAAAATGATTACATTTCTCATTCATCAAAACAAAGCAGAAGAAATAGACAAGTTAAAAATCAATCCCCCTAGCTGTCTAAACTAAATTAAGCACAAAATGCTTTAAGACTTACCTGAGTGAGACCCAGAGAGCGAGCTGAGAAGTCTGGCCTGTGCATGGGTTCCATCGAATAATTCAGCCAAATCATTTAGGGCTGTCTGGAAATAGGCAAACTGTCCAAAGACCACTAAAAAATAAGAGGGGAGATGTTGGCACAAGATGCTCTAAGAAAACAAAATGGAGAGTTTTGATTTCACTGAATATCTATTAATTGCCCCAAAGGATCATTATCCTAAGAATCTGGTAAAAAATAAATATTAACTTATTTTCTCCGCTTTCTAAGTTTTCAGTTGACAAAACTATTTTACTTTGCTTCTTGACTTTTGGCATTTAATAAAAGAAAAACATACTGTTTTATTTCAAATTTGAACATTAAATGAAGAATGTTTTTGTTTTAATAAACACAGCATTAAGAATATCTGGGCTGGATGTGGTGGCTCATGCCTGTAATCCCAGTACTTTGGGGGCGGAGGCAGGTGGATCATCTTGAGGTCAGGAGTTCACGACCAGCCAGGTCAACATGGTGAAACCCTGTCTCTATTAAAAATACAAAAATTAGCAAGGCTTGGTGGTGGCTGCCTGTAATCCCAGGTACTCAGGAGGCTGAGGTAGGAGAATTGCTTGAACCTGGAAGGCAGAGGTTGCAATGAGCTGAGATTGTGCCACTGCACTCCAGCCTGGGTGACAGAGTGAGACGCTATCTCAAAAAAAAAAAAAAAAAAAAAAAAAAAAAAAAAAAAATCTGTAAAGACTTCCCTATATTTTCAAATATTTAGCAACATTTTATTCAATGAAAAATAAGCAAAGGATCAAGCCCCATGATGATTTGACGAGGAAATTAAATTCCTCACAAAAGGTTATTACAATGCCAAATTCATATTAATACATTACCGTATTCATACAAACTGATTTACACACGTGATTCTGTGGCATATAATAGGAATCACTTGCTGTTTTCCACTCTACAATCTCATTTACCTTACAGGTTATGAAAGTTGTGTGAACACACATCCTTCAAGTAAAACATAACTATATACTTTGTGACTTCAAATTTAACTGATACTGTGTATTCAGATTGATGATATAGAGGGCCTTTATATATGCAGGAAAACCTGTGATTTAGTATATATTTACAAGCAATGAACAACTAATCCTTTTCTTATTTATTGTAAGATTTGCACTACAATCATTCTAAACCATTATGAACAAGAAATGGAGGTGTGTGCGCTAGTTGTGTGTGTCAGAATTCCAATAGAAAGAATTACTGTTAATATTTGTTAGTATGATGGAAGTAATCTAACTGTAACAGTGTGTGTGCCCATATGTGTATAGACACACATACATACATTTATGTAACTGAATCCATACACACATATCTAATATTGTCTTTGAAGATTTTATAATTTGCCAGAGAAAAACACAAAGAAGTCATATAGACTAGATGAACTTTCCCAATAGATGAAATGCACTAAAACCTTTTTTCAGAAATTAGAGAGGGAGAGGACTTAATACTTTCTCTACAGATCTTGCTCATACCATCCTAATCCACCCACCACCTCCCCAAGTTCATTAGATTTTTAACATATTGGAGGCCAAAAACTTGGGTCACGAAAGTGAATCATCCATAGATAATTTCTACTCCTTTTCAAGAAATATTTTGCTGACATCCACCTCATATTAGAAACTAAGAAAAGAGGAGGGAAGGTGATATTAACATTGTCCCAGGACTATCACACTCGAACATGTTCGGTAATTTCCACGACACATGTGGATTTTGAGTGCAAGATGTCAGGAGCCAGGAGGAATGCCCAGCTCATTCTAGAGATGGCCCTGACATCTTCCTTGAGGCGCCTCCTTCACCTGGGTTCTAACCCATCACTCACAGTCTGCCCTAGTGAGCAAACTCAGTTTCCAAGAGAGAAAAGCTGCTCAGTGCTATCCATACTGCTGCTGGAAATCATGACAATGTGATGAGAAGAACAAACAAAGGGTTATGGGGCTTCAGCCGCAGGAACCGTCAATGCTTCACGGTGGGAATGGCACTATCACTAGTTCTTCAAGAAGGATTCATGGAAGAATGGAATATAAGAAATTATATCAGCAAATGGAATACAAAAAGCAAAATGGTAGAGGGGACAAATGCAGCAAACAGTCAACTTCAGCTAACACTACCTGGATAAAAAACAAACAGGGGATTGGAATGCAAAAGTCTGTGGCAAGGACCTCAAAGGCCACCCTGAAACACAAACACTTTGTTCTGTAGGTAATAGGAGTGAGAAAGAATGTTTATCACGATACTAAAATGCTTAGATTTGTGTTTTAGAAAGCATTCTTGGCTATGGTTTTGGATGAGAACAGAGGAAACTGGGTTATCTGAAGACCTGTCTTATTAATAATATTGCTTCCCATTTTCAGCCTGTGTTGACAGACAGGAAGCAGCCCCTTCCTACCTGGTAAGGATCACGTCACCCCGTAATGTCTGGATTGCACGTCTGCCTCACCCCCACACCATAAGCCTGCCAGGAGCATGGACCAGATTCGTTTCACCTTTGCATCCATGGACTTACAAATACTGTGAGATTAATTGTTTAGTTAATTAGTTTATTTCATAGGAAGGAGTAACGAATAGGGGAAGAAAGTAAAAGATAGAATGCATTTTCATTAAAGATTCGCTATAACTATGTTATTCCACACTGAGACTTTCTGCCAGATAGGATGTGATGCGTTTGTGTGATTAAACCTTTCAGATCAGGAAATTATAATCAATATTTAGGATATGAGTATGATTTTTTAGCTGAAAAATTTTAATTGTGTAGTGATGACAATAATATTTTGTATTTAACTAAAGTAATAGGATATGGCTGCTAAACTCCATTGTAATAAGTATATTTTGTCACGTATTCATAAAAAAAGACTTTTTTGTGATAATGAGGGAAATACTGCTGAGCATTTAGGTGAGAAAAATGTATTTCGTTCAAATTCAGAATTAAGGTTGAAGTTAAATGAGGGACTTTAAAGAATTTGGGTCAACTTAAAAAGTTGGAATCTAGAACCCGTTTTAGGTATTATTGTCCATTTATCATAACAAAGGGAACAGCAAGGCTCAGGGAGGGTGTGTATTAAATTCGTAAGAAGCCTGGGAATCATAACATAATAGAAGTTTATAAAAATAATGTCTCCCACACACAAGTTTCTTACCCACCAAATAACTTTCTTGTCATATGTTAAAAATGCTTTACCTCAAATACAGTCTAACATTAGAATTTTTATCTGCTTTATATGCTGAGTGAGTGATTGCCGTCTTAGACATATATAAAAACCTTGACTATGTAGTGTTTTCAATTTTCCTATCAGAAAGAGGGAAATAGTCTTTAAGATGATGATAGCTACTATCTGGTTTACTCCAGAAAAGAATCCGATCCAAGATAAATTGTCCTGGTCAAGAGTGAGAGTGAGCATTACATAAATGAAGTGCAAAGCGACCAGGGAAGGTCCTTCTGGAAATGAAGTCATCTTGGAAAATTCGATCGAATTGGACACAATAGGTAGGAGGGAAATAGAAAGTCAGGGTTCAGCAGGTGAAACAGTCAGGACTGTGCCTGCTTCTCCATCCCTGAGCACTTACAGGTTGACTCAAGGATGCAGTGATTTCGATCATGATCTGGTTACTGAATTCACTGAATGTACGTGCCATTCCTGCACAGACATGCACACAGCGCTCTGACCCACCCTCTACTTTATGAGAAATCCTCCCTCGCTCATAAAAACAACCAATTGAAAGAACGATGTGTGAGAAACCTAAGAAAAAAGCCAAATTAATTCTCTCTAATTATTCTGGATCATAACCCTAGAGGGGACTGTAAGCATTTAATATTACATTGGTAAAAGGATTGTAATGGACATTGTGTGGGATACGTTTGGAAAGCCTGCTACTAAAATGCAACTCATTTGCTTTTATATGAACTATTTCACTAAGCTCTAGAATACCTGTTTATCGAAAAACAGAAAAATTAACCCTGAAAGGAAACATGACAATGAATTAAAAATAAAAGGGCATCCTTACCGAATTCCTTTGGTACCGTTATGGAATAGAGGCATATTTGACCAGCTGTGTAATTATGGGGGTAGTTTGGTGATAAAACTACTCCTTCTGATCCCATGTACTGGCCTCCGCAGGGAGCTGAAAATAAAACCAACCGAGAATGAGGTGCTGTGCAATAATAATAGTACACGTGATAGGTGAGCCAAAGTTGAAACACATCAAATACGTGAGCACGTTTACTGAAAACTTAACAAAATAATACGTTAAAATCTTGTTTTGCATTCCTATCAATGTAATAGAAAAACAAAGATTTACCAGGTAAGAAGTAATGCAACTTAGGAGAAAAACTTAATATTATTTTCAAGGCCATGTCTCAGATGTATTAAAATAATAAGGGAAACAGCTATAATAATAATAGAACAGGTTCTAGAAAGACAAATGATTAAATTATTTTAGAAAGTCTCGCCAGAGTTGTCTGTTCAAAGTCAATCCTCATATTAACTTAAGAGATACAAAGATTATATCAGTTTTCTATCACTTGTATATTAATATGGGACTAAAAGGAAAAATGGTTTGCTTTTTAGGGGGTTTTGTTTGTTTTAACATTTTATCTTATACTTTCAGTAAAAAAGCAACATGTATAATTACTAACGCTTTTGGGGTCTCTTCCTATGAGTCCAATTTAAAACTAAAGGAATCCATTATTAGAAAGTTAGGGCTTATAAAATATAGAGAGGTGTGCGTGTGGCGGGGCGGGGGCGTATGTCTGTGTGTATGTGTATGTGTGAGTATGTCTTAATTTTTCCCCAGTTATCTTATTTACTTTGGCTTCACTTTTGCTGAGAAAACGAAACACATTGTACACAGATGTTCAAAGCACTTTTTAAAGCATCATGGAACAGACCTCCAATTAAAACCCAGCCATTTGATATCCAGTCTTTACATTGCCAGTACTCTATTTCCTTATATTTTTACATAAGGAGGGGTCAAGTCCGCTCTGCTTATCTATTTAGCACAGAGCACTGACCAGCGCAGGAGCCACTCAGTACAGCCTATTGCACCCTTACCATGCTGGCTGTGGCCTGACTGTACTTCCTATCTTAGATATACCCTCACTGATTTGAATTCAGAATTATCTTCAGTATTTCAGAAAGGTTATATTTCTACAGCTCATTTCTTCTTGATATGGCAATTTTCTTTTTCTTTTCTTTTCTTTTCTTTTTTTTTTTTTGAGATGGAGTCTTGCCCTGTCACCCAGGCTGGAGTGCAATGGTGTGATCTCGGCTCAGTGCAACCTCCACTTCCCTCCCAGGTTCAAACAATTCTCCTGCCTCAGCCTCCCGAGTAGCTGGGATTACAGGCATGCGCCATCACACTCGGCTAATGCTTTTGGGGTTTTTTTTTTGTATCTTTAGTAGAGATGGGGTTTCACCATGTTGGGCAGGCTGGTCTCGAACTCCTGACCTCGTGATCTGCCTGCCTTGGCCTCCCAAAGTGCTGGGATTACAGGGGATTACAGGCGTAAGCCACTGTGCCCGGCCACAATGGCAATTTTCAAGCCTCAAAGGAAAAAAAAGTTAGAGATAACATGTTTAATCCTTTGAACATTAATTAGCATTATGTTAAATCTTAATTGATGGACAGAACATTTTCCATGATGAATAAAACTCCTTAGAATATGGCAATGTTACGGTTAAGGCACCTTGTTAATGATGATTAGTTAAGAAATTTCCTGAAGCCCTGCATTACAATGGCTTGAAAAACTTGAGTTGTATTCTAAAAGTCAAAGGAAAACAGCTCAGACATCTGACAGCTTTGATCTGTTTATGATCAGCTAGCAGAGATTTTTACTTAACTAAGCTCAGCCTTCATGCTAGTGTCTTAATTGAAAATCACGTTATCACTCTAAAACACTTCTATTTAGTTTTTTATAGTTTTTTTTTTTTTTTTTTTTTTTTGAGACAGAGTCTCGCTCTGTCGCCCAGGCTGGAGTGCAGTGGCCAGATCTCAGCTCACTGCAAGCTCCGCCTCCCGGGTTCACGCCATTCTCCGGCCTCAGCCTCCCGAGTAGCTGGGACTACAGGCACCCGCCACCTCGCCCGGCTAGTTTTTTTTTTTTTTTTTTTGTATTTCTTAACAGAGACAGGGTTTCACCGTGTTAGCTAGGATGGTCTCGATCTCCTGACCTCGTGATCCGCCCGTCTCAGCCTCCCAAAGTGCTGGGATTACAGGCTTGAGCCACCGCGCCCGGCCGTTTTTTATAGTTTTAAATAGAAACACTTTATTTTCACTTTTAGATGGAGGATATTTCTGTAAGCTCCAAAACTGAAGGTTTCTAGTAGAATCCTGGCGTCACTCACTCTACTAAGGCAGATACATCCCTCAGATATTTTCCTCCACCATAACCATGTGAGGTCAACCAGATTATGTCAGAACTATCTTTTCTTTTTCCTCAAAAGCTTCAAGTTCAAGTTAAAAAAAAAAATAAACACAAATAAAGAATGAAAATGTATTTTATTTCCGCTCAGTCACATAAAACTCAAACATATCACTTTGCAAATGATCTTTTTTCCATTAAAGAATTAGTTTAAAATTTTAAATAAGAAGTATAAGTAAAAAGTGGAAAAACGTCATCACTGGGCCAAAATTTTGATTCCCAAATTATTAGCGATGGTAAACTAATTCTTATCAAGAACATCTTCTGATCGCTCTGTCACGAGGCTGGAGTGCAATGGCACGATCTTGGCTCACTGCTACCTCCACCTATCGAGTTCAAGAGATTCCCCTGCCTCAGCCTCCCAAGTAGCTGGGACTACAGGCACACACCACCAAGCACAGCTAATTTTTGTATTTTTGGTAGAGACAGTTTTACCATGTTGGCCAGGATGGTCTTGATCTCTTGACCTCGTGATCCACCTGCCTCGGCTTCCCAAAGTGCTGGGATTGCAGGCGTGAGCCATTACGCCCGGCCATATGTTTTGTGATGGTTAATACTGAGTTTCAACTTTTGGATTGAAGGATACAAAGTATTGATCCTGGATGTGTCTGTGGGGGTGCTGCCAAAGGAGACTAACATTTGAGTCAGTGGGATGGGAAAGGCAGACCCACCCTTAATTTGGGTGGGCACCATCTAATAAACTGCCAGCATGGCTAGAATATAAGCAGGCAGAAAAATGTGAAATGAGAGACTGGCCTAGCCTACATCTTTCTCCTGGGTTGGATGCTTCTTGCCCCTGAACATTGAACTCCAAGCTCTTCAGTTTTGGAACTCAGAATGGCCCTCCTTGTTCCTCAGCCTGCAGACAGTGTATTGTGGGAGTTGTGATCATGTGAGTTAATGCTTAATAAATTCCCCTTTATGTATGTAGCTATTCCATTCGTTCTGTCCTTCTAGAGAACCCTGACTAATACATGTTTTAAAGTATAACTACAAAGAAACACTTTGTCCAAGGACAGAATAAAAGAGGACTGCCTTATGATACTAGAGGACACTTTAAAAAAGCCAAAGATGAAATTAAGGAAAACTGACTAAAAACTTCTGTCTTTTACTACCTTGATAAATGGTGCTTGTGCCTGTCCATTCTTCCTCAGATCAGAAGGCTAAGCACCAGAAGAACTACAACAATTATATGTTTCATACATGACCAAACATTTGTGTTAGAAAAAATATGGACAGAATTTTTATTTAATT